AAGTCCATGGAGAATAAGAGCACCTCCTCCCAGCTGCCCACTGCACTGAGGCTAGGAAACACTATCACCACCGATAAATCTACAATAATCGAGAATTTCAACAAGCATTTTGCTACGGTTGGTCATGCTTTCCACCTGGCTACCACTACCCCGGCCACCAGCTCTGCACCCTCCGCTGCATCTTGCCCATGCCCCCCCCCCCCCCCCCCCCCACCCCGCTTCTTTCACACAAATTCAGACAACTGATGTTCTGAAAGAGCTGCTAAATCTGGACCCCTACAAATCATCTGGGCTAGACAATCTGGACCCTTTCTTTCTCAAATTAGCAGCCGAAATTGTCGCAACCCCTATTACTAGCCTGTTCAACCTCTCTTTCGTAACGTCTGAGATCCCCAGAGATTGGAAAGCTGCTGCGGTCATCCCCCTCTTCGAAGGGGGTGACACTCTAGATCCAAACTGTTACAGACCTTTATCCATCCTGCCCTGCCTTTCGAAAGTTTTTGAAAGCCAAGTTAACAAACAGATCATCGACCATTTCGAAATCCCACCGTACCTTCTCCGCTATGCAATACGGTTTCCGAGCTGGTCATGGGTGCACCTCAGCCACGCTCAAGGTCCTAAACGATATTATAACCGCGATCGATAATAGACAGTACTGTGCAGCAGTCTTCATCGACCTGGCCAAGGCTTTTGACTCTGTCAACCACCGCATTCTTATTGGCAAACTAAATAGCCTTGGTTTCTCAAATGACTGCCTCGCCTGGTTCACCAACTACTTCTCAGATAAAGTTCAACGTGTCAAATCGGAGGCCCTGTTGTCTGGACCTATGGCAGTCTCTATGGGGGTGCCAGTGTTCAATTCTCGGGCCGACTCTTTTCTCCGTGTATATCAATGATGTCGCTCTTGCTGCTGGTGACTCTCAGATCCACCTCTACGCAGACGACACCATTTTGTATACATCTGGCCCTTCATTGGACACTGTGTTAACAAACCTCCAAACGAGCTTCAATGCCATACAACACTCCTTCCATAGCCTCCAACTGCTCTTAAACACTAGTAAAACGAAATGCATGCTCTTCAATCGAACGCTGCTGGCACCCGGCCACCCGACTAGAATCACTACTCTCGGCGGGTCTGACCTAGAGTATGTGGACAACTACAAATACCTAGGTGTCTGGTTAGACTGTAAACTATCCTTCCAGACTCACATTAAGCATCTCCAATCCAAAGTTAAATCTAGAATCGGCTTCCTACTTCACAACAAAGCCTCCTTCACTCATGCTGCCAAACATGCCCTCGTTAAACTGACTATCCTACCGATGCTTGACTTTGGCGATGTCATTTACAAAATAGCCTCCAACACTCTACTCAGCAAATTGGATGTAGTCTATCACAGTGCCATCCGTTTTGTCACCAAAGCCCCATATACTACCCACCAATGTGACCTGTACGTTCTTGTTGGCTGGTCCTCACTACATATTAGTCGCCAAACCAACTGGCTCCAGGTCATCTATAAATCACTGCTAGGCAAATCCCCGCCTTATCTTAGCTCATTGGTCACCATAGCAACACCCACCCGTAGTATACGCTCCAGCAGGTATATCTCACTGGTCATCCCCAAAGCCAACACCTCCTTTGGCCACCATTCCTTCCAGTTCTCTGCTGCCAATTACTGGAACGAACTGTAAAAATCTCTGAAGCTGGAGACTCTTATCTCCCTCACTAACTTTAAGCATCAGTTGTCAGAGCACCTTACCGATCACTGCACCTGTACACAGCCCATCTGAAATTAGCCCACCCAACTACCTCATCCCCATATTGTTATTTATTTTGCTCATTTGCACCCCAGTATCTATATTTGCACATCATCTCTTGCACATCTATCATTCCAGTGTTAATACTAAATTGTAATTATTTTGCACTATGGCCTATTTATTGCCTTACCTCCATAACTTGCTACATTTGCACACACAGTATATATATTTTCTGTTGTATTTTTTACTTTGTTTTGTTTACCCCATATGTAACTCTGTGTTGTTGTTTTTTATCGCACTGCTTTGCTTTATCTTGGCCAGGTCGCAGTTGTAAATGAGAACTTGTTCTCAACTGGCTTACCTGGTTAAATAAAAGGTGAAATAAAAAAATAAAAAAGTAAAACATGTCCGCTTTAGGTATAATGCCGGGAGCCACTTGTGGATTTGACAGCTCAAATGCAGTTCCACCTCGTACACCATCAAAATAACCACTATGCAGATGTCGGGTAATGTGGATCTGATTGAATAGAGCCCTAAATCGGGAACATTCTGGCAATAACACAAAAGTGTCTTGACACATCTTTAGGAGAGAAAAAAACGAGTGTTTACAGAAGGGCATAAAGGATTCCATTGTGTGTGGAACACAGAACGCCTTTTCAGTTTGTCTTGAGAAAAATGCTAAAAGTCAACCCTTGCAGGCAAACTTTATTTGATGTTTAATTTTCTATCCTACCAGGGATACCAAGCATCTATTTGGGTAAATCACATTAATTCGATTTTCATTCAAAAACACCTAGCCCTGTACCATATACGTGTTTTAACAATAGAGTTATCTATCACTGTGTAACAGATTTCCAATTTATAAACACTCTTATCTCATCAATCTTCAAAGAGAATAACTTCCAACAAAAGCCTTTTGGCTAACCTATCACATTCTCTTCTCATTGTACTGGGGGAAAAGCTCTTTCATGTGATCTCTCTGATGGAAAAACATGACACAGTATATGTGGGTCACTGCCTGCTCATCAGGCACATGATTGTGGATAGGCCCAATAGTGAAAAGGAAGAGGAAATACCTATACATGAATGGTGCTGACCATTTAGGACCACTAAAGATATCTGCCAAAGTTGGCCCTCCATGAGGCAAAAAGGTAAAGCACTATCATAGTTTTTTTGCTTTAAATGTAAGCTGATTAATGAACGTTTTGTATTATTTATTTCCTTTACATCATGTGTCCAACCCATTCCACGGAGAGCCGAGTGTCTGCGGGTTTTCGCTCCTCCCTTGTACTTGATTGATGAATTAAGGTCGCTAATTAGTAAGGCACCCCCCTCACCTGGTTGTCTAGGTCTTAATTGAAAGGAAAAATCTAAAACGAGCAGACACTAGGTCCTCCATGGAATGAGTTTGACACCCCTGTTTTACATCATCTTCAGCCAATATCCTCAGGCTGATCAGAGGATAATTCAAAAGAAACAACCCTCACCTGAGAACCAAACCAGGCCGGGTCCCAACAACTCTGCAAAGTAGAATCAAATATCAAAGACATGATTGCCCTAATCAAAAAATCCTATAGGATTCCAATAAAAAAAATCCAATAGCAAATCCTCTGATTTTGGAACCTATCCTATAGGACTGTATCCTATAGACCTTATTTTTGTATTGGATTCCTATACGATGCTATAAGATAAAATCATATAGGACAGAATCCCATAGGAGTCCAATAGGACTGGTTCCCAAAATGGTATAGGATGTTTCTACCAGGGATCTACCAGAAATAGTGAAAATGGGGTTGTCTTGCCTATAATAAGGCACATACATTTAGCAATAATAAACTAGACTCAAAAACCACATACAAATAGTTACAATTTAGCTAGCGAGCTAGTCAGCTGACAGGCAAAATGTGGTTAACAGTAGTGTTTTAGCTAGCATAAAAACGAGTGCATAAAATGCTGCACAATTACGAAAATATGTCTAAAACATTGACAACTTAGTCAGGAAACAAATACTGTACTCACTGTTCTTTCATTCACGCACAGTGAAGCATAAAACAGATAGAATAATAATGTTAGAAAACCGGAGATTCTCTGCACAGCCACAAGTGACGTGTTAAACTTGGGAGTTAGGATGACGTCATCAGTCACTCTTACATTTACGTCATTTAGCAGACGCTCTTATCCAGAGCGACTTACATTATTCTTTATTTTAATTTTTTTTCATACTGCCCCCCCGTGGGAAACGAACCCACAACCCTGGCGTTGCAAACGCCATGCTCTACCAACTGAGCTACCTCCCTCTTAAAGGGACAGGCTTCCTTACAGGTGAATAAAACAGAAATGACATAGAACCGATCAATGGACATTTTGTAATTAATGTTGTTGTATTGTCCTGGAACTAATGACAAACTATAATTTAATGGGTTCAATTTAGAAAAAAAGTTCTAATAGCATTCTGATTGGGGTGACAAAATCCTTATCAAAAGATTTATCAAAAACCTATGGGATCCAATCAAATGACTTTTGATTCCCAATAGGAAAAAAGTTGTCTAATATAATCCCAATTGGATTCTGATACAGGTGACACAAAATCCTATAGGATGTTTTGACTAGGGTGTATACCCCCCACACGCCATCCTCATCTACAAGGAAATCATAAACAACTTGTAAATGTTTTCTTGCACGCTAGCCTTTGAAACCCCTCTTCCCCATCTTATTACCTAACCCCATGAGGCTTATTCAGAACACATTCAGTAACGCCGATGAAACATTACCAGATGTCTGATTCAAATTAGGAAGGATGAGGATCAAATTCTATTCAATGTGTTTGTAGAACCCCCACATTGTATTTTCTAATAACCCATAGTGTGCATTGATACAGAATAAGAGAAACTGAATCAGGGGATGGGTGAAGATAGCATGGGAATCTGTTGACTGTCTGATCTCATCTTAGGTCACAAGTCTCTCCTAGCTCATATTCTGCTTGGGGGCAGTCGGCTTAACAGAGATGTGAGCGATAACGATTAAATTGTATAATTGTTTTTTTATCTCCTCGTGCACCTACAATAGCACATTCTTCTGCTGGCATAACTGATGGACACACTGTAGCCTTAAGATGAATGATAGTGTTTCATTCTCACGCTCACGACAAGCCCCCCCCCCCCATCCAACCAAGACCGCATTCAGCAAGACCTACAAATCTGCTAGATAACAAAAACGTTTAAGAAGTTTTATTTAAACAAAATGCGTGTTCATACATACCATAAACACTGACAGAAAGGCAGGAATAGCGTTACAAGAATATTCAGGTTGTACTCAGAGTTAGCTATTCCACCTGATTCAAGTAGTCCTGTGTAGCTCAGTTGGTAGAGTATGGCGCTTGCAACGCCAGGGTTGTGGGATTGATTCCCACGGGGGGCCAGTATGAAAAATGTATGCACTCACTAACTGTAAGTCGCTCTGGATAAGAGCGTCTGCTAAATGACTAAAATGTAAAAATGTAATTCAAAGTGTTTTAGTAACAATACAGTAAAACATTTTTAGTTATAAAATGCCTCTAAAGAAATGTCAGCGACAAAATACAAACTTAGATCTCAGATACGTAAGCATTGTCACCAACTGAAATGGGGTTTCTATGTTCTATGTACGGTCCTGTAACCATAGTGACTAATTATGGCCTTCAGTTACAACAAAGCAGTGGAAATGGTAGCGTCAATTAGAATGACCAGTCCAGTTAGACTGCTGTGCCTCTCTCCAGATTCTGCTTGATCTCGGCTGTGTATTTGCCATAGAACCGCTCTGCCTTCTTGTTGAACTTGGCATTCCTCTCGTTGATGTAGTCGATGTCTGCGTCATCGTTGTAGGCCCTGCGCCGGCTGTATTTGGCCCGCTTCTCAATCCTGCGAAGAACAGCAAAGGATCAGTGTCAAGGACACACACAACTCACAAACCAAAAGAACAATCATAGTAGAAAAACCTAATTCAGTTACATCAAATCCGACCTCTCCAGAACGACTCAATCACACACAGGCAACAATCCCTAAACGAAGACAGTATACAATTTCATATGCCAAAGCACCAATGGAAAACCTTACTCTTCTACTTGAACACACAGGCTGGCACACACAGTCACTTTGCTAACTCACAGCCTTTACTTAGTGTGTCTTCAAAGCGGAGATGTGCGTCATGCCCTGGCAGCTCCTTCCCTGTCTAATCTCTCACAGGAGCATCACTAACACAAGGACTCCCAAAAATAGTTGGGCGCAAAGAGGAGAGAAAAGAAAGATAGAAGGCTAATGTAACCCAGGGACACTAGGGAAGGTAATATGCTGGTCAGGTGTGAGGGACTTCAGGACTTGACCGTAGCTGGTATGGAAGGTCTAATGTGCAGCTCGACTGCTCTATTCCATGGCCTTTATTTTGAAAGGCATGCCATGCATTATTGGATTGGGGAAAATCCGTTCTATCTGGCAAATTTAACACCATTCATGCAGATGCAACAGAAACTGTGGTAATCTAAGGGGTGTGAATTAGAGATGAGGGTTCATTAACTAGGCAACACTCCCACTAAGCTAGAAAGAACAGACAAGTTTTCCAGCACCTCCCCAGCGGGTGATACCATAAAAGAGCCTTATCAGCCAGCCCCATCAGGCTCCCAACACTGGGGTTCATTCAGTAGGCATCAGATATGCCCTGGCTTCATGCACGCACATGTCTGCCTCTCCCATTCACAGAGGGCTTTCACTCTTTCCACAAATGGACCTTGTTTTGGACTCCAGTGCATTAAATGGGAGGTCAGAGGGGGATAGGATCTCTCTCGTCTCTATTACACTTACTGTTTCTCCACATCGTCCACCATGCGGTCAATGCCCTCCTTGGATGGGACGTGGGTCCCATGGATCAGGCTGTTGGATGTGGGGTGGAAGTCCTCGCCACTGTGAGACAGAACAGGAGAGTCGGTTAACACAATATCAATTATAATGATCCTCCTCAACGCCATCCATCTCTCCAAGCTGAATATGAGCCATCTCTATGACTGGGAACATTATGCTTTAGTGTAGTGCACCCTTCACAGCTCCACATGTGGCAGCAATTAAGGGGAAAAACCTGTGGGTTCTGAACTCATCTTTGGCTGATCAAGAAAACCCACCATAACTATAACCATACCGTTCCTCTCTGAGCATATGCCTCACACTGACGCTTTTAAGACATTAAATGATTTTGTGACAATGTCAAAACTAACCATGGGGCAGGATTGGGGCACACTGCCTGGGATTTAAGTGAATGCTTTCTGCACATGATCAGTGAAACTGTGTGATAGCAGCGTCAATTATCCATTTGTTTGACGCAATAAAAAAATGTAATGGTACCCCTTTTATGGGGGAAACAGTCTTCTTTGAAACATGTGCCTTTTCAAAACCAATATATACGACTTGTGCTTGAGGACATTGGGAGGCAACCCTGCACGGCCGACTCATTGTAGACAATATCAAAGACACTCAGTAATGGAAAATGAGAGAGGAGTTTTATGAGGGGGCGCCGGCTCACCACTGCTCTCGCTGCCTCTCGTAGCCGTCCATGTCTGGTTTGATCTGCTTGGTGAGGCGCTGGTACTGTCGCAGCTGGGCCTCCGCGTAACCTGCGGGCCAATGGCAGCAAACAAGAGAGGTTATAATTACCGGAACAAACAACAAGCAGGCGCAAAGCTCTGTGACAAAACCTGCGTCTGGTTAGGGGAGATGAGGAGGCCGCTTTCCCCGCTTTCAAGCCCCTCTGGTGATAATTTTCTCCCCAGAGGTTTAATTCAGAGACATTTTGATGCAACAGATGGCAGCCATATTTGGGGAATGCAGTGATCCCTTTTGGCAGATTAAATTGGAGGCAGTTAAAAATGATGTATCCCAAGGGGTCTTTACACGCACCCAGAATTCCTCAGGGCTACCCTGTGGTGGAGTGACTGTACCACCTCCAGTAGCTGTCTTCCACAATCTAATTTCTGCTGCATTTCAGACTGGTCTTTGTGGAGTTGAGGTCTTCACAAACAACCAGGCTCTACATTAAAAAGTCACTCTTTCCCACTTGTTTCCCCAGGCGTATATCTTATTTTAGATGATAGCTTGATTAAAAAATATATATGGATTGAGGATGTACAGCATGACATACTGGTAGGTGCTCTCCAAGCCCATGATTGAATGGCCCTCAGCTAAAGAGGAGGACCTGAGCTCTTCCTGACCATGTGGCCTTACCAGTTATAGCCTATAAGTAGAAACCAGAGTTTTCTTGTTCAGAAAAACTGACCAGCTGAGGCATGGTTGTTATGTTCGCTCAAAAAAAAAAGAGTAGTATCTCTCACCTGAGAATCCTGGATCAGGGTTCTTTTTCTTCTTCTTTCTCTCCCAACGCTCAGCATCCTCAGCACTGATCTCCAGCAGTTTCACCCGGTCATAGTCCTCCCCTTTGGCCGCACACTCCTGAAATCTCACAGACACACCAAGTCACTAAACCGCAACAGTGTGCATACAATTACTAGATAACTTATAACATTACTTATCTATTATCCTAAGGTACACAACTTGCAGTTGATTTCTGACATCCTGCTGTCTGTGATCAGCCAACAAAATAAAACATAATCCTACGCATGTGACGGTTCATCCAGAAAGCAGTGCCTCTGTAATAATAATTATGTTCAACATAGCAGTGGCCATCTGTAGCTCAGTTGGTAGAGCATTGCACTTAAAATGCCAGGATAGTGGGTTTGATTCCCAGGACCATCCATACGTAAAATGTATGCAAGGATGACTGTAAATTGCTTTGGATAAAAGCATGTGCTAAATGGCATATATAATTAATATATTATAATTAAGTCGGTTGATAAACTGGTACCTTTTTCTTTTCATCCGTCATAAGTTCCCACTCCAGACGGGCTTTCTTAGCCTCCCAGTTAGTTGGTAGCTTCAGTCTTTTGTCCTCCTCCACAACCTCCTTGTGATTGAGCTTGCGCGCTTCATTCTGCAATGGATACCACAAAATACATACATTCCAGAACTTGAATACAAAGAACACAGAGACAAGATATACCATGTAAACTCAAGCTACTTCTGAACTCAAATGAGGATAGGCTACTATGACGTTACTAAAATGTGTCTGAAATAGGAGAACCTTTGAACACACACCCTTTTGAAATGCAGTTCACGGAATTTTCGGAGTCTCTCCTCTCTTTTCTGAGATGCAGCACTATCAGTCTGTTCATCACTGACCGACGCAGATACCTATGAAAATAGCATAAACATTAGCTAGCTTATTAGCTAGCTTGCATAAAGTACTAACTCACATGTCAGATCCGTGCTGTACGTTACAGTGGCAAGACATAGCAAGGTAACGTTTGCTACGTAGCATGCTAATCCACTACAAACATCAGTAGCTAAAAGCAAATTGGAAATATATAACTAGTTAAGCGTTAGAAAGATAATGGTCTGAAATTATAGCAATTTAGCTAACGGTTAGCTAATGCTGTTAGCGCTGGCCATTGGACTGTAAACAAAGACATTGGAAGTACTGATACGAGCTCTCCATTGGGTACACTAACACATTTCAAATGGCATATTGATTTTCAATAATTGTTTATCTTCATCACAACTAATAAAACCCCCCTTTTCATTATTTAAGGATATCATTCGTCAAAACACCAACCTCAAAACAGGACGACATCGTTGAGCTAGAAGGCAGGAAGTCTTCTTCTTCTTCGGTGGGGTTTATCAGCGGTTGGCATCCAACGTTATGGTGCATTACCGACACCTATTGTACTGGAGTGTGGGGCAGAAACAGGGAGAAACTAAATCCTACCCGCCAGCCCCGTTTCTCTTAAAAAAGATAACAAAATATTTGAGACTATATCTAATGACGTGCTACTCAATATACTATTTAAACTAACTTCCTGTATCCCCTTCTCATCCTCTTTCTTTCCCTCTGATACTGCCCACACTGTAGCAATACATGCTCCACAGTCTCTGTTTCCTGACAATAATCACACTTTCCTGTTGGATGCTTTCCTATCACATTTAATGTCTTATTCAACTGGCTGTGTCCCACCCTTAATCTTGTAAAAATAGCCTCCTCTCTTCTTTCCCTTCATGCCGTCCTCCCCTCCCCGACTTTCCTCTGTACTTGAAATAAATGCCTTCCCTTATTATCTCTATTCCACTGCTCCTGCCATCTCTGCACCATCACTGTAAATATCAATCTTTTTGCCTCTGCCTTGCCCATTGAAACTTCAACATCAACATCCCCACTACTAAGTGCTTGTTTAGCCTGTTCATCTACTGCCTCGTTCCCCTCCACCCCCACATGGACTGGGACCCAAATAATTATTATCTGAATACCCATCTGTTTAATCCTGCCATGGGTTTGTAGCACCTCATAAAGCAGGTCTTGTCTGCTATGTGAGCTAAAGGACTGGAGACTCATTAACACTGCACATGAATCAGAGCAAATAACTACTCTGTCTTGTTTGACTTCCTCCACCCACTGCAAGGCCAACAGTATGGCCATCAGCTCTGCCGTATATACAGCCAGATGACCTGTAATACGTTTCCTGACTTCCACCCCACATTCTTGCACTACAAATGCTAACCCAGTACGTCTTGTCCTTGGATCTTTTGAACCATCTGTGTAAATGGCCACAAAATCCTGATACACAGTTTCCAGATGTCTCTTAAAGAAATCAGCTGGATCAACACCATCCCTATCTTTTTGTAGTCTCTCCAACACTTCTAGATCAACTACTGGAGGCGGGAGTAGCCATGTTGGTTTTACAGGAATAACTACCATTGGACTAAACTCCCTTCCATACAGTCCCATCTCCTTCGACTGGGTATTACCAACCCACGCAAAGCTCGTGTTCTGTCTTCGCTCATGTTCCCAGCATGCCTGTAAAATCCCTTTTGCAGGATGAGACACCCCATGTCCTTGTAGGTTGACCCAATAATTAATTGCCAGCTGCTGTCTCCTAATCTGCAATGGAATATCCCCAATCTCCACCTGTAATGCAGCCACTGGGGACGTCCGAAACGGCCCACTACATATTCTGAGTCCTTGGCCCTGTATGACATCTAGCCTTTCCAGTGAGGTCCGGGCTGCCGAACCATATGCTATACTGCCATAGTCTATTACAGATCGGATCAATGCAACATACGTGGTCTTCAATGAGGAACGCCCAGCCCCCCACTCCTTCCCCATGACACAGCGCATCACATTTAGCACCTTCTTACACTTTCCCACCACTCTCTCAATGTGTTCTGCCCAGGTCAGTCTAGTGTCAAAGTATACCCCAAGGAACCTGAAGGCCCCCACCCTCTCCAAGTTTCTCCCATATAACCTCAAGCATACCTAATCTCCCACCTTCCTCCTGGTAAAGAACACTGTTTGAGTTTTCTCTACAGAGAACCTGAATCCCCACATTAATGCCCACCGCTCTACCTCATCAATTGCTTCCTGTACCTTCCTGACTACGTATGGCACATTTCTTCCCCTCTTTCATAAGGCCCCATCATCTGCAAATAACGACCTCCCTATATCCGGCTGTACCTGAGAGTAAACATCATTGATCATGATTGAGAACAACAGAGGACTAATCACGCTCCCCTCTGGTGTATCGTTATCCACCAAGTAGCTGCCTGATAAAGACTTCCCCACCCTCACCTGGATAGACCTTCCAAACAGGAAATCCTTTATCCAGTTGTACGTTCTTCCTCCTACCCCCATAATATCAAGCTTGATTAACAACCACTCCTTCCACATCATATCATACGCCTTCTCCACATCAAAAAAGACAGCTACAACAGTCTCCTTGTTCACCTGAGCCTTCCTGACCTCTGCTTCTAAGCAGAGCACTGGATCCATAGTTCCCCTACCCTTCCTGAACCCACTCTGATGTGGCGATACTAGCCCTCTGCTCTCCAGGAAGTAACTTAGCCTCTCTGTAATCATACGTTCCATAATCTTACATACATGTGATGTTAAAGCAATTGGCCGATAGCTTGTTGGCTTTGGTGGATCCTTCCCGGGCTTCCGGATTGGTACCACTACTGCCTCCTTCCAACTGCCTGGTCGTTTCCCCTCCTCCCACACTCTGTTGTACAACACCAATACCTTATCCAGTGCCTCATCACGAAGATGGGCCAACATAACATAGCACACCTCATCTTTCCCAGGTGAAGTTAACCCAGCCTTACCTATTGCTCTTTTCACCTCTGCCCTGGTAAATGGTGCACAGGCAGGAAGTCTTCACTCTGAATGTCGGATGTTACGCAACGAACGGAATTGGAGCGTCGTTATAGAAATTCTCAATCAAATATTAATATTATTAGTATATTATTTAGATTGTAAAAAATACATTAAAAGTATCATCATTACTCATAAGGGGGAAAATCCAATAATGGGCTACTGTCTTGGCATGGTGTCAATAAGATATTCAGTAGCCTAATACATTGATCTTGTTTTCACTCCACACATGTGCACATACTGTATCTTTGATAGGTGTATATGATACTACCACTGACCTGAGAACATATATATTTTTTAAAGTTAAAATAACAATGACTCTTATTGGATATGTCAGGGAGACAGCCATTAGTTACACAAACAATGACAAAAACCTGTTAAATTATGAACAGATAGAGAGCTATCTGAGTATTCACTGTAGCTATTGTGTCATTGTGTGAGAGCCAGATCTATTATCGTGACCCAATTTGTAAGTCGCTCTGGATAAGAGCGTCTGCTAAATTATCTAATGGAAATGGAAATGTGACACCATGACAAAAGTAATTGGTTTGCATCTGTCACGACTTCCTCCGAGGCTGCCTCCTCTCCTTGTTCGGGCAGGCTTCGGCGTTCGTCGTCACTGCCGCTCCTCATATCATCATTCCATTTGTTTTGTCTTGTTTATTACACACACCTGGTTCATATCCCCTCATCAGTACCTGTATAAGTGTTCCCTCTGCCCCCTTGTCTTTGTGTGTGATTGTTTATTGTGGAGAGTAATGTAGCTCGGTGGAGCTCCTTGTATTTTTGTATTGCCGGGATAATTGTCCTCTGTAGCTCAGCTGGTAGAGCACGGCGCTTGTAACGCCAAGGTAGTGGGTTCGATCCCCGGGACCACCCATACACAAAAAATGTATGCACGCATGACTGTAAGTCGCTTTGGATAAAAGCGTCTGCTAAATGGCATATTATATTATTTTATAATTCCTCGTGTGCCTTGTATTTTCCAGTGGGCCTGTTTTTGACACGTTACTGCGTAACTCTGTGATTTACCCTCCTGCGCCTGACTCCTTCAACATCACCTCATCACAGCATCTTGCGTTTCATAATTATGTCTTTGTGTTGAAATTTTAACCAGACTTTTACTTTTTTTCTCTTGATGTTTAATCAAACAAAATATTGCTATATCAATGGAAATCAGCATAACTCACGCATGGTGTGATTACAGATATGACTGGAAGTAATAGAAAGCATGAAAGGTCAAGCGTAAAGTCAGACATCAGTTTTCCACACTGACAGAGACCAGAGACCATGGCAGTGACTGTTGATTTGTTTGAAGTTTCATTTGTTATGCTCGTTCACTGCACAAAAAAAGGACAGCTCATGCCAATCAACAATACATCCTTTTCTTGTTAAATTCAATACAGTATGTGTCACGGTTTCGGCCGAGGCTGCTCCTTCTCCTTGTTCGGGCAGGCTTCGGCGGTCGTCGTCCCCGGAGTACTAGCTATCACCGTTCGATGTTTCATGTTTGTTTGGTTTTGTCTGTTTGTACACCTGTCCCTTGTTAGTGTTTGATTTTGTTTCCTATTTAGTTATCGTGTGTTGGGTCAGGTGTTATGTGTGATTATTATTGTCAGCTGTTGCTATTGAGGAGTTTCCTCTCTCGTGTTGTTAGTATCGAGAGTCCGCACTGCGTGCGCCTTTTCTTGTTTTTGCGCACTGTTGTTTGTGTGCGTAATTTGTTCTTGCCTCCCGGTTGGGTTGGCAATGCACCTGTTTTTGGATTACTAAAGTCTGTTGACGAACACCCTTGTTCCTGCGCTTGATTCCCTGCACCACATCCACACGCAGCGTTCTGACAGAATCACACATCACACTATGGAATCAGCAGGAGCAGCCGCGCCAACGGACATTATGGAGGACCGTCTTCGTGGGCAGGAGGACAGGATCAACCAGATCGGTCACGCCCTGGATCGGGTGGTGAACACTCTCCACCGATGGGAGACCAGCGGGGTACCCACGCCCCCACCTACCGGACCATCCCCATCGGTCAGTCCTCCTGTCTCCCTTCCGGAACCCAGCGGGATTCGGCTCTCACTCCCGAGGGCGTACGACGGCTCCGCTGCCGGGTGTCAAGGGTTCTTGCTGCAAGTGGAGCTCTACCTCGCCACCGTACACCCGGCGCCCTCGGGACACGAGAGCGTCTCCGCCCTCATCTCCTGTCTCACCGGCAAGGCGTTGGAGTGG